GACTTAAAAGCTCAGGTGCTCTCAGAGATTTATTTACCTTGTTAGGGCCGCTGCCCAGGAAAGGGGATGAAAAACCTCCATGGCGAATATGAACCGAACCTTGACTTAGACACCCGATCTTGGCAGAGTGGGTGGGTAGGAGATTATTAAGGTCGCTAAATTTTCAACTAGTTCAGGTACTCCTGCATCGGATCGACAGGGAGACGACCCCGTCGTGCCACGAGTGCGGTGTTGCGGTTGACACGGCTCGGCACAGCCTTAAGATGTGTCTGGCGTGGTCACGACAGCGTTGCACTCTGGTCCTGAGAGATTTCTCCCTACCCAGCATAGTCAGAGCTATGATGGGCAGCGACAGGTCCTGTAGGGTAGTTTTATGAGGTGGTTAACTCTCAAAAGGAGGCTGCCGAGAGAGTCCGTGCGGCAAAAGCCCACGCGGCCTATCTTCGGCGTCGGAGGGTGGAGGCTGGGAGACGGTGGTTTGACCGGCTCTTAGTCGTCACCTACGGGGGATGAATGGGGATGCTCCTGATGCTTCGAGGCATCTCTAGGTTGGGTGGGTCCGTTCGTGTTGAACACTCACTGGTGGGGTCGCGGAAGTATCCGGAAATGTTCCCGTGGCCTCACCCAGTGACTTGGCCTCGCCGAGAGAGGTACCGCCTAAAGGTGGATCTTCCACCCGACGAGATCGCGGCCCTTCGATGAGGTGAAGGGCATCGTCATGTTTTTAGTGGGATGGGCCGTCCCACGAGCGAGAGGAGAGGGCAGGAGTCCCACATAACCTGCACTCCAAGAGTGTTGGGGTATGCGACACGCATTTTCCTGACGTTTAAAAAATACCTGAGATAGGTTGTGGGCAATTTTTTATGCCCCTAGGTGATAAAGGTGGTATGGGGTTATATTGCTATATCGGAATCGGAAAATAATCCAAAACTATCAAAAAAATAAATCATCAATTTACCCGACTGCACAATGCAAGAGCGCGAGGCGCGACGCGCAGACAGCGTATAGTGTTTAACAGTCCATATACCTACGTATGTATGTTCTTTTGTGGCACATTAGAGATCAAACGCGTGGATTGATTTTGATGATACATACATCAATTGATTCGTCCGAATCATGGGAGTGCTACTAAAGATGTGTGATAGTAATCTAAATTCAATATGGGGATAATTAACCGTCATATTGTGAGAAAGAAAAAAATAAGTTGACAAAATATGTATATATATATATATATATCATTGTCTAGATTATCAAAAATCATGTTTAGGTTCTATACACCATTTTATATATTACGTTTGTAAGTATGGATCTTTATTACTCTTTCACAAAAAAAAAACTGAATAGATTTTAACGAAATATAATAATAACTTATGTAGCTATTGAGTGAATTAGCCAAAATATAACAGTAAGTGTCACGTAAGACGGAAAAAATCTCCCATCTGCGAGCCATTTTGTCTTGCACTGCAAAAATAATAAAAGTTACATGAATATAATGAATAGTGGAAATGTATCTCATGAATAGTTCTACCAAAAAGTCCGGGGCAGCATATATCTATTTTTAATGTGTAAGCCATTATTGCTAAAATAGTGAATCAAAATAAAATATTATTCGATATCCATTTAAAAATGTACATTTTGTATTATAATATTATTTTTTATCTAAACTAATACTTTTATCGCTTTTGATATTTAAAGACTTTAAACTTTGGCTTTTTCACTATGTCATTTTGACTAATATTTAAAAAGTTACAACGATGACAAAATGCTACCGCGGTGCATGGAGCAGGACTATGCAGGAGTAGACTGCGGAAATAGTGGGAGATTTTTTTTTGTGGAATTTTGGTGATTATAAACGTTTATAAAACATTATTAAAAAAAAAACGGCCAAGTGCAAGTCGGACTTGGCCGTTATATTTTTATTTGTTTTCTCATTCTCTTATTTTAGAAGTTACAGGGGGGGGGGGGGGGGCATCATTCCACTTTGGAAGTGTCTCTCGCGTAAACTATTCAGTTTAGAAAAAATATAAATTAGAAATATCAATATCATTTTTGAAGATCTATAAAAAGATACTCCATACGTATACGTATGGGTTTGCTGAAAAAAAAATTTTACTGACGACTTACGATTGTTACCGAAAGTAGCTTTGTTCCTTACTTAACAGAATTATTATAGACTACTGGTCTTGCTTTTTCTTTTCAGTTTTATTTGAAGTTATATTTAAGCAGTCAGGGCTTTTGATTTTTTAAATTAACCTTTGTTTGTATGTTTGTTATGTGAACTTAAAAACTAACAGAACGTTTCAAAAAATACACCATTATAAAAATGTACATTATTCTGATTGACAAAGCTATAAATTTTATCGCGTTCAAATTAATTTTCCCCCGCGCCAAGCCGGGCTGTTTATACTTAGACGGGGATAAAAAAAGAAAACTAAATATTACCCTGCTAAACTTCCGTTTCAGTCTTTATTCAGTTTTTATTCCCTAAAAATACAATGGGTCTAGAAAACATTTGTTTTGGACGTTTTAAGTATGTTGGCCCTAACTTTTTAATCGATTATTGAGCTTGTTTATGAGACATTCCGCGATTTGAGATGTTATGAGATATTTTGAATCTATCAATGTTAATATATTTTTGCGCTTTTGCCCCAAAATTCATATATTTTTTACGTAGTACTCATTTTTGGCTTTTTCCAGGGCTACTGTCATCTATTGACAGTTCGCTCAGGGATACACTTTCCAAAATTCTAAATTGTTCATTTTCTGATAACGTCTGGAAGCAGGCCTCTCTCCCTGTTCGTTTCGGAGGACTTGGTACTCGCCATATTTCACATATTGCCCCTTTTCTGTCTTCTGCAAATGGTACAGCCGAGCTTTTTAATAAAATACTATGTCCTTCTTTAGGCGTAGTGGAGCGGGCTCACCTTGCAGAGGCCAGGAATGCTTGGTGCAGGGCATGTCCGGGAGTAGATATACCTTCCTCCTTATTTTCACAGAGGCAATGGGACGAGCCACTCTGTTTGCGTCTTCAGAGTGATCTTCTAGCTTCCTCTGAAAACGCAGCTGAGCGTGCTCGCCTCCTAGCGGTCTTTCAAGTAGAGTCTGGTTACTGGCTGCAAGCTCTTCCTTCAGCCAATATCGGGACTCTGCTTGACAGAAGTTCTCTATCACTTGCCATTTCACTCAGACTCGGCGTCAAGACAAATCACCCCCATCGTTGTCGTTGCGGAACTCGCGTCGGTGAGTTGGGACACCATGGTCTCTCATGCCAAATGAGCGCTGGTCGAGTCTCCCGTCACGCCTGCATCAATGACGCAATCCGCAGAGGTCTTGTCGCAGTCAATGTGCCAGCGGCCCTAGAGCCCAGCGGCATCTTCCGAGACGATGGCAAGAGACCTGACGGAATGACGCTCATTCCCTGGAAGCAGGGTCGTCCTCTTGTGTGGGACGCAACTTGCGTGGATACGCTTGCTCCGTGCCATACAAGTAGTACCTCCCTGGCTGCAGGCGCAGCGGCGGCCTCCGCCGAGTGCTCCAAGCGGCGCAAATATTCAGCTCTCAATGAGAGCTACATATTTGTGCCATTTGGTGTGGAGACCATGGGACCATGGGGTCCAAGTGCTCGTTCCTTCTTTAAGGAATTATCTAAGAGACTCACCGAGGTGACCGGTGATCAAAAGGCTGGCAGCTACCTCGGCCAACGGATTAGCCTCGCTATCCAACGTGGAAATGCTGCCAGCCTATTGGGCACCATTACTGACGGCGGCGCTGGGGGTGATATATTTTATATTTTGTAAATTGTATATTTAAGTTCTTAGTTATTTCTAGTTTTTACGTTTTTAGACATAAAGTAATTGTAATTCTCTTTATTTTTTTCGAAATTATTGTAACTTTGGTAAAACACATAATCAGTCTCTTCATTTGCTTCTTATGGTTAAAATTTTCCAACAATGATACATACACCCTCTATACGATATAAGGATCGGAGTTGGTAGAGTATCGTCAAGAGATGTGACATTAGCAACAAGGTCATGGTATTACAAATGTTAATCTCGCAGTCACAGCACACATCAAGTTTCAATCAATTACTTCTATAAAATTATTTTATTTTTAAGCATTTTACTGCTAGATGTTTAAATATAAAGAAGAATATTCAATATTAAAATCTACGTTTTCCAGGGAGCAGACGGGACTCAAACCCGCATCCTCCATTTTCCGGGCGTATGTACTGACTAATTATGCTGCCGCGACCTTAATAGCCATGTCAAATTGTTTTGTTTGTCAAAAATAACTACAGTTCTGTTAATAGAATAGTGGGAAAAAGGACCAGGCTGACTATTAAGCGCCTACACAGCTATCACCATAACACATCACTGAAATAAATAAATACCTCCGCCTGGATTCCAACACATTACCTTTGTAGATAGGAACGTTGCCCAAATCAGCCGCATCAATTAATGAATTGAACTCTATAAAATTGGGTCAAAATGCCAAAAAAATACAAATTCACTAGCTGTTAAAAAGAAGCTTTATCGAAGTAGGAATAAAGGAGTCTAGCCATATGCTTGGTTTGCCACACATTCAACAAAAATGTGTTAATAATATAAGTTCCACTTAGTGTGCGACTAATAATGATAATTGCTATAAAATGTATGCGAGTTGTCGTCATGAGAAATTGGATAAAAGCATCTCCAACAAATAATAATATATGATCTTCTTTTTGAAATGCGAATAAATAGTGAATACTTCTCCTAGCCTGGTTATAGTGCGCTCGACGAGTGTTATTGCACAAACACCAAACTAAAATTATTGACTAGATTATTACAGAAGTAAATAAAATATAGCCGCGGTGTACGTGCGACCGCGCGGCCGTGCATACCGAATCGTAAGATCCCAGCACGCATAGGTACTTTACTTACTAACACCCACACTCGCCGCGGCTAGCACACAGCCACAAGAGCAACACAAATAAAAGTATAATAAGTGTTACCAAGACACAGGCGCAGCGTACGGTACTATTTGTTTGGAGGGAGGTTGAAGGCACTCATACAAGCTCAGGAGAGGCTGTGTCGCCGCGGCCCGCCAGTTTACCGTTGCGAGGCGTGTAGCGCGGCCAGTTGTAGCCGCAACGCGCGCCGCCGGCTCCCACTCACAGATCCAGGACTGTTTCCCGGAACCAGGACTCTTCTCCCTCTGTGCACCTTAAGGTGGTTTATAAACTTTTGGAAACTTGTTCTCTTCTATAGAGACGAAGTGCTTCATCTGGTGCTTAATTCGCCGGAGTGTTAATCCGATTTCTGGTTGTTTATTGGATCGCTTTTATTCATCGACAACGGTGAGTTCGACTAAGCATTAACTTTTAGCATGAGTTATAATAAAAACAGCATAATATATTTCTTTACAAGAAGTTTAAATTATAGGTGTTCTCAACCTAATAAAAGTTTAAGTCGTACTTTAAATAGTATTTATAAATAATATAGGTATAAGTAAAATATTATTTTAAATAAAAATTTACTAAGTTTGTATGCAGGTTATGATAAATATTCATTCCAAAATGAACAGGAGTTATTTTTATCTGTATCAAACACGATGTACCGTTACTTCATGCGATCCACGAGTTGATTTGAAGATATACAAAAAGTCAATAGGTACTTCTTAGATTATATTGAAGCGACACGTAACCATAGAAAAGAGTAACTCGTGAATCAACGCCTTAACTACATGGAAAGTTAAAACGAAACTTTTAATATACTTCAGATTTTTATGTCACATCTTAAATATCAGCATAACAGTAATGTTATTATCAAAATTGATTTCATGAAGAAAATTAAGTAGGAAATTATAATAAAATTTTATGGCGAAGCTACTCAAAATAACATAGAATACTAATCAACCTGTTCAGGATATTAAAACACCGTCTGCCTGTGCTCTCAAACAACGCATAGATAATTATTTTTATATATTTTTTGAGAATTGTTAGTTACAAGGAAAAAAGCTACAATTATACAATGTAAATATTATAAAGAATTCACCGAAATATTTCTATTATACATTTTGTATGAAGTACATATCTGTAGGAGCTTTTTTGAAGTTGTTTTATTTTGCTTAGTTCTTTATTTTTCTTCAGTACCAGATATAACAAAGTGAATGATATCTTCATCGGTTGAACATATGAAATATACTGATTCCATAAAAATATAGTTCAAAAACATAATTAATTTATTAAATATAAATATATCCAACACTGACACCAATAAGCCTAGCCCCACAGTAAGCACTGTAGCCTTGTGCTATGGGATACTAAGGTAACGGATAGAATACTTATACTGGTACATATATAAGTATATTTATATAGAAATACATATTAAATATTCATGGCTGGATTACAAATATTCGTATGCATGACACAAACACCTGCCCCTATCGGGATCCGAAATCGGGTCCCGGTTTCGAATCCCGATCTTGAGTACCCGTGGCCGTCACCTTAAACCCGGCGTACATACCACTCGGCCATGGAGGTCGTCAAGCATTCAACTTCATTATCATAGGAAAATATTAAAAATCCCCTTTGTTTTGTCAAAAAGTAAACTGCCTTCGTTGAGACTTTTGGAAATATTTTTTTGTTTAAATAAATGTAGTAAAAGTAAACATAAATATGTTTACTTTTACTACATTTATTTGTGCCTAGTCTAGTACATATTTATTCCTATTTGTAACAAAAAAGGGTATAAAGAACCCATCATACATGAAGTTCTAATGTAGTTTTATTTTACACGTATTAAAATATAAAAGTTTTAAGTTTAATATCATTACATAATTTGATTGCTTTGAGTTGTCTATTTAATGTAATTGTTCAAGTAACGCAACGCATTTTAAAGCAAATAAAATTAAAACTAAGAGCCGGACGCAACATGAAGTAATAACCAATATAAGTATCGTAACGCGTTGAAGTCTTTTGTTCTCGCTCAACACAAAGCGAATAAATTAATTGAGTTTCAGATGTTTTGCAATTATTTAACTGATGAATTTGACATTTCCATACATATTTAGTGCAATTATTTACTGTAAAATAAGTGAGTAATATACTTAGCACTAACAATTGTGTTTGCTCGAATAAGTATTGAATGTACGGCGCCTACAGTAACTACATAAGTACCGATTTTGATAGTTTTTTTTTGCTAAAATCAGTTTTTATAGAATATTAATTTAGTAAGGACCTGATGAGAACTTTCGGAGAAAACAGTGGAGCTCCTCAATTATAAACTTATATTCAATGTATGATTGGTTATTTTAAGAGATAAGCCAGGCCAGGTAACCTATACTCAGTTGATGTTACTTAGACTTACAAGAATTGGAAAATAAGAAAAATAACAGAAAGAAAAAGTGAGTTCATAAAATAAAACCCAGATTTGTATTATTTCTTAGTTTTAATAAGTTATAATATCCAAAGTACATTTTACTTATAATTTATATTTGGTTATTTTAAGAGATATGAAAGAGATTATGCAGGCCAGGTAACGTATACTTAGTTGATGTTACTTAGACTTATAAGAACTGGAAAATAAAAAAAAGCCTTCATAAAAATAAAACCATTAAAACTAAGAAATAATACAAGTCTTTACTTATAATATCTAAAGTACATTTGGAGTAGGAGTCATACATGTTGATAGATCTGATTTACCGTTTACTGGTTGAATTGGCATGGCAGCGACACCAAATCTTAATTTGAGTTTAAACAAACTTTAGATGTAAGTAAAGAATTGTATTATCTCTTGCTTTTTAGTGGTTTTGTTTTTATGAAGTTAGTTTTTATATATGTTAAAAACGTTTTCTAGTAACTATATTACAGCGCTAGATTTAATTAGGTACATGACATGAAGAGTTTAAATATAAAATGTTATTGTAGATTACATATACATTTAAATGGGAAAAGTAATAATTACTTTTGTTGTTTTATTGTTATGAATACTTCTCTTGTACAAAAGTGGCAAGGCTTAAGAGGGTTTCATTAAGTAATCTTGTGAAATGACTACGAAACACTCGCTGCTTATGCTTATTTATTTCGACAGACGCTTGAAAATTATTTTTTCAACGTTTGTTTAAGTACGGTAATATGTTGAAGCTCAATAATCTTCGAGAGACCATTATAAATTATAATGATCAAAGCATTTTACAACGATGACTACATGATCAAGTAGTGGTAGGTTAATTATTAAGCCTTACTTTTGACATGCACCTATAACTTGTAAAATTAAATACCGGTATTATTATGAAAATCATTTTGAGTCTATTATTTTTAACCGAATTCAAAAAGAAGAAGCTTTTGTAAAAGTCACATATACTTTATGAAGTATATGTGACTTATAATACGGCGAATCACATATACTTACCTATTTTTCTTGTTTATACGTAACTCAGAGATAAATAAATCTATTTATGATAATTTTTTATTTGGACGTCCTTTATGAATTTTAAGAACATCTGAAAAGCACCTTTTGAATATAAATAACTGGCAATTATTGTTTAACTGTTCTAAGGCGAGAAACGTATTATATCATCATTTTAGTGGTTTTGTATTTATTAAAACGGTTTAAGTTTTGCCAAAACAGTTTTATATGCAATTATATTTTTTATTCTAATGCCAATTAATGAATACTAGATAATATTATAATTTCCTCATTTTAACTGACTACAAAACGAGGAGGTTCTTCTCTATTCGTCAGTATATTTTTTTTTGGCATAAACAAAGAACATTTGGTCAAGTTAAACAGTATTTTGTCTCTGTTCTTTGAATTTCATTTAAGTGGTGTGATCCAAACACCGCAAAACTTATAGTTAAAGTTTCTTACAGTTATTATTGACGGTTTAGTAGGGGAAGATATTTAAATATGACAAATAGCTGTAAAATGGCTGCATGAAGTTATTGCATATTTCATTCGACAAAAATTGACGCTTTTAGACTCATTGAGTTATATAGCAAGCTGTTGAAATTATCGTACATTTCCACTGAACACTCGTCATCGTTGACTTGGGCGAAGAATTGAATTAAACAAAGGATTAGTAATGGCGGACCATGAAGGTTTAGATACAGCCGCGTCTTTAACGCGTGGCACAATGAAGATGGCATTAAGGTAGTCAGCAGGGGGTGCGGTGAGGGGCGTAACTGTATTGTTCGTAGCATTAAGCTCGACTCGCTATGTGGTGACTCGAGTGAGCCTGACTGCGCTGGTGCACCGCGCCGTGATCTGCTGGGTTATGTAACCCGCGTGCTTGCAGACGGATCGCAGCGGCGTAGCATGCTGGCATTGCAGTGCAATAACTATTCTCAACTATAACACACACCACATCACGACTTTTCCTTTTTGTCTCGTTCGATCGCGTCCCAATTTCATGCATCTCAAAATTGTAGTGCGGCTACAGACTTTAAAGACAGCCTTTTCATTGTGATTGTGACCGCATAAAATCACGTCATCATGTTTATGACTCCCAATTTACTGGTGGATAGCAAGGCGGTCAATCTTTGAAGCAAATGGTAAAGATCTATATGGAGAATGTAGTAATAGAGTGAATCAACAAATTGTTATAAGAATTAACGCGAGGAAAAATTGTTAGTTTGGGGTTTTTGAAACGTGGAAAAAAATATTTTTATTTCAATTGTTCTTCAATTAAACTAAATAAATTCATACTACTAAAATGTAGCAAAATATAATGTAGAATTGTAGAGTAAATATAAAATTTATTACACTCAGACATTTTGATAGCAGTATTTATTTTTATTTATTGTTGTAATATTTTAAATTTATAAGTAAAAGGGTAACAAACCAGCATAATGTTTCTTGATGAAACCAAAATACTACTAGATGTAAGAAACGTGTTCAATGTATAAAGCAATTCGATCATCAATACAAATATTGAATCAGAGAAATTAATAAAACGAAATGCCACACATTAGTACTGTTTTTATAAACGAGTGATTGATAACCAGATGCGATGTAATCATTAATAACGACATGCTTATTTCTCATCATTCATTTAACATGTACATATTAATGGGTTCATTAGGGAACCTTGCGTACGCCCAGAGTGCCGATAAACAATGGCTCATGCAACTTCTTGCAATTCAAATTTAAAATGCTTAAAAATTTGTACACGAAATGTATACCTGAGTATGTAAGATTATCTGTTATAAGTATGCACTATTGCAATAAATTATGTCGTTTATTTCACCATACCCTATAAATTTTAATTTATTTTCGCCATCGTTCATCGCGACAAAAATTTCATCCCCATCATCTTGATGCGTGGCTATCCACAACCGTGCGTTTTTGTCGAAAT